CTTGGCATTGAGCCCTAGCCAGCGTGGCTCAGTGGATAGAGCATAGGCCTGTGGACTGAAGGGTCCTGGGTTTGATTCTGGTCAAGGGCATAAACATGAGTTGCAGGCTTGATCCCCAGTAGTGGGTGTGGAGAAGACAGCTGACCAATGATTCTCTCTCATCATTGATGTTTCTATCTCTCTCTCCCTCTCCCTTCCTCTCTGAAATCAATAAAAATATATTTAAAAAACAAACAAAAATTGGCATTGAAATGTTAGGCTAATGAGACTATGAACACTTTAATGAAAGCAGGCAGTACAGTTAAAACTACAGACCAATTGGACCATGCACTGAGCTCCGCAGGGCTGCTCATGGGAACCTGTTGGGATTTGTACAAAGTGAAAGTCTATTTTTAACACGACCAGATTTACACTGATTCGAGTAGAGCAGAACTGCAAACTTACCAGTGGAGAGGTTAAAGCCCTCCTGAGCCTGTCTCCAAAGTTCAGGACTGCATCTATTTTTAAACAATGAGTGTGAAGAGCCAGGGACTGAAAATAGGTTCCAATCATGTGTCCGGGGAGAATATAGGGCGTCAGTATATTTCATTCTCACAGAACATGAATTGGGCTGAGAGTATAATACTGTCCTTCTGACGTTTACTTCTCCCAATAGACGTCAGGGAAGACAGCATAATTTGCATGCATATTTATTTAGTGCAATTCTAAATCATTTTAAAAAGTACGTTGATATTTTTAAATACTTTCTAAAAACATGTTTTGTTAAAATGAACTAAAACAGACTAGAGTCATAGTACTGTAAAGCTATACAGAGACATTATAAATTAGCAGCTATTCATATGGCAGTCAAAGTAACAAGAAGCTAGAAAAGCTATGTAAGTAGCCTGGTCATTTCGTGATCACGTGACCGAGCAAAGAAATTAGGTCTTCTTCTCTCTTCTGGCCAGAGCTTTTCTCCTGCATCCCTAGTTTCTAGAGAACAAATAGATTTATTAATGTGTGCAGGACTTCAATCCCGGTGCGATGGGAAGATAAATAATAAAATGTCATTTCCAGTCTCAAAATGCTTACTATATATGCTTGTGGAGACAAGATATAAAGACATTAAAAAATATGAAGCAAAGTTAAAATGCATTACTGAAAATAGAAGACATGTAGGAAGTCACATACGATTCATGACCAGAGAAATGCAGATGCTATGTACTAAGTTTCTAATAGATTGAAGAGCCCTGAGCGGTGTGGCTCAGTTAGTTGGATGTCGTCCAGTGCACCGAAGGGTTGCCAGTTCAATTCCAGTTCAGGGCACATGCCCAAGTTGCGGGCTCGATCCCTGGTAGGGGGCATGTACGAGGCAGTTGATCACTGTTTCACTCTCTCTCCCTCTTCATTCCTCTCTTTATAAAAATCAACAAAAATATTATAAAACATAGGTTAAAGATTTAAAAACCATCTTGACATGGGAACTTTCTTCAATAATACTTGTTATCAATAAGGAATTATAGTGTAAAGGGAGCCTTAAAATATTGCTATTAATTTTAATTATAACCAAACAATATTGCTGAAACTTTCTCCTTGTCTCAGTCTGCATGGTTCCAAAGCAAAGATTCTTTGCTAATATAAATACTCCTTAAAGCCATATAAATACATCAAATCCCATTTTTCCTGATTGACATAGAGTTAAACAAATTGCCAATAAGACAATAACAGTAAAGCATTCCATTGAGAATGAAAAGGCTAACCACAGACAGGGAGAATATATGTGCAATACATATCCCAACAAAGAACTCAGTCAGGATGCTAAAAAGAACTGTTGAGTTGGAAAAATCCAGGGAAACTCTTGACTGGGTACTTCACTGAATAGGTATTCATCTGACCCATAACGAGCATCACAATATAATCATTGTTACATAAATGTAAGATTAAACCAAAATGTAAAAAAGGGGAAAATAATATTTCTTCATGCTGCTATTGGCAAAAATGAGGATAACATCAAATTCTGTCAAAGATGCAGGATACTGGAACTTCATATGTTACTGCTATGTGAGGAAAACAATCATTTTGGAAAACTGTTGGCAGTGTCTACTAAAGTAAATACATGTTTATCTGATTACTTAGCAATTACAACATGAAGTAACTATTCAAGAAAAAGCCCATAAGCCACTTCAAGAATGTTTATAACAGCCTGGCCAGTGTGTCTCAGTGGTTGAGCATGGACCTGTGAACTAGGAGATAACGGTGGTCAAGGCACATGCCTGGTCCCTAGTAGAGGGCATATAGGAGGTAGCTTATCAATGATTCTTTCTCATCATTGATGTTTCTTTATCTCTCTCTTCTCCCTTATCTCTGCAATCAATAAAAATATATTTTTAAAAAACAATGTTCATAATAGGTTTATTGTATTAGCCTAAAGCTGGAAATGACCCACTGATCATAAGTAATAAGTGGATGGACTTTGACTTAGTCATCAATGAAAAGCAACCTAAAATATGAAAAGAAGAGAAATGCATAGATATTTGTCTCATTTCATTGTTTCCTATCAAATACTTGTTAGAATTCACAGTTTCAATCATATAGTATTTACATGGAAATAAGAGTGAGAGAGAATTAATTCCTTCCAGCAATAGTGAAAATATAAAATTTTCTAGGCACTTTCAGCAGGTGTCCCTGAATATGCAATGAATCACAGAGGACTTTTTCAGATAGATAAACACCAGTGTGATTGTTTGTAAAATAAACTTTCAAATATTTTTCTAAAATGAAAAGTGAGAGAACAATTAAGAAAAACATTTGTAGAGTTGAAATGAAAGAACATAGGTGTAAGGAGTCTATTATTTTTGTTTGAAACTCTTATTTTCTCTGCAATCTGACTTATTTTCCCTTTCCCCAACAGCATTCTTCTGTGTAATTTTCATGTGAAATAAGTACCTTTTAAACAATCAATCCAGTCATTTTAATGACATACCTTTGTTTCTTTTCATTCCATTTCACCATTTATCTTCATGTGGTTTTTGTATAGAGGTATTCTAATACTAAAAAACATAATTTTTTTAATACACATAACACTTGTTTCTCAAGTTGGCTGCTTGAGAACTCATTGTAAAAGTTTTGGGTACCTGTTTCCAAGAGGAATAAAACTGGGCTTTGTGAGTACTTTTTTCTACTGATGAAAGGCCAACTTCCTACTTGCCTTTTCATTTTCCTTTCTTCTTTCCATTCTTTTCACCTTCTTTCCTTCCATCCATCCATCCATCCATCCATACATGCATGCATGTTTATTGAGCACTTACTATGTGCTAAACCTTGCTGTAACCCCAACGTGCACCACAGCTCTTTAGCACCAGTTAAAACTGTCCACAAATTTCCCTGGGATGCAGCCCCCAATGCACTCAACTGTCATTTTGAGGTCTTGGGTGATGCTATACCAAGTGCCACATATAATATCTTTATTTTGTTTGTTGTGCCATGTTCATTTTCTGCTTCTTGTTGCTGATTTTTAAATACAACTCTCCATAAAGCTCCACTACTAGAGACTACTCTCTGTTCTGCTAAACTCATGAGATCTTATTGAGGATGCATGACCTTCTTTTCCATGGTGGACCCAATTTCTGGGCCCACTGTATCAATTGGAATTCTCTATCCTGGGATCATCGCAGTTCATTTCATGAAGCAAGACTAGAGAAACCACCTTTCCTACTCTTGGAATTCAGAGTTTTGTATAAGTTATTTCCCCAATTAGAGAATTCAGATCTCTATTTCTTTTTACCTTCTATCCCCTTCTTCACTGAGGTTACTTAAGTTATTACGTGTCTTAAGCACTATAAAAAAAATCAGGCCCTACCCTTTTCTTTTGAGAGCTCATTGGAGAAAACGTTTCTGAGAAATGGCATTGTGGTAAATTTTAGATGCCCATTGTTTATTCTGTTACATATCTGACTTGCAAGATGAAAGCTGGTCAGTCCCTGTTTGGCTCAGAGAGATGACATATCTAGATCAGAATCCATAGAATGAAATTAAGCATGTGGTTCTTCTAGCTTAGAATTCCTGCCCAGAAATAATACAAGTCAGGAAAAGTGGACTCCCACCTCTCTCCACTCCAAGGCTTCCAGTGGAAACGGGAAAGGCTCTTTAGGAGGGGTTTTCTGATCTAGCCTAGAGACCAACCAAAAGTATAAGCAGCGATTAGAATTAGAAACTCCTTTATGGAACCCATCTCGGCACTCTCCGTGGTTCTCACTCCGACATGAATAATGTTAAGGGAAAAACATTGAAAAGCTGTTGTCTGGCAGTGAGCCTCGTTTCAGAATTCCTATTGGTAGGCGTGAGTTAGATCATTCAACACAGGGAGCACAGAAGCATTCGTGGTGTAGCTAATAGGCAATGATGTGGCCTCCTTTCTTAAAAAAAAAAAAAAAAAAAGAAAGAAAGAAAAGAAAAGAGACTAAAATTCTCTCACATTTTAGAAGTTTTTATGCTACATAAAGGATAATAATGCGCCCAGACTGGTTTGGCTCAGTGGATAGAGAATCGACCTGCTGACTGAAGGGTCCCACGTCTGATTCTGATCAGGGGCATGTACCTTGGTTGCAGGTACATCCCCAGTATAGGGTGTGCAAGAGCAGCTGATCGATGTTTCTCTTTCATCAATGTTTCTAACTCTCTATCCCTCTCCCTTTCACTCCGAAAAAAAAATCAATAAAAATATTTTTTAAAAGAATAATAAATGTGAAGTGGTAAAAGTTGAGACTTGTATATATCTAATTAGCCTGTACTGAATGTGTAATATATACTTGAACCATTCTGGGAACTGTGAATACAAAATCCCAACATGGAGATAAAATGAGCCCTGGCGTCGCAGAGGCATGTAGGTGATTAGCATTTATGTAGGTTTGGGTTCTGAATTTGAATTATGATGTTATGTGATATATATAATTTTAGTATATGCTTTCTTGCTGATATGAATAATATCACTCTTAAGGTTGATTTACTCTTTCCATCTCTAGGAGATAGTCAACTTCAACTGTCGGAAACTCGTGGCCACGATGCCTCTGTTTGCCAACGCTGACCCCAATTTTGTGACTGCCATGCTGAGTAAGTTGAGATTCGAGGTGTTTCAACCTGGAGATTACATCATACGAGAAGGAGCTGTGGGTAAAAAAATGTACTTCATTCAGCATGGCGTTGCAGGAGTCATCACAAAGTCCAGTAAAGAGATGAAGCTGACCGACGGCTCGTACTTCGGAGGTTAGTGCCAAAGAAACACAACCGAGGTGACATGATGGTGCTTCGGTATGTGTCTTCCTTAGGGTTCTGGAGGTGTCAGAATATTGATTTGTTGGTTTGGAATATAAATTCTCATTGGAATTCTGATAAAAAGTGTCTATAATGGCATGTTTTTCTCTTATGAGGCCTTGTCAAGCTTAACACCAAAAACTGGAATGTTTTCTTTAGAAAAAGGCAAGAAGCCTGCCTTCCAATCTGCAGACTTATCCTGTAGGAGAGAATTCAATCAAAATTTTTTCTTCTCATCAGTGAGGTGCTCAATAAGTGCTCCTTATTAAGTGGTCCTTGTTGCTTTCTGTTCATCCCTCATAGACGTCATCACTTTCTACCCCTTTTGAAGGCTTCTCCATCAGAATCAATGTATAGCAACTCTGTGTCTCCATGGCACTTCCCATAGCTTTGCGGAGTCCTGGTCAAGTCCACCTCATGCTTGGATTAACAGGTAGTTACCTTGCCGGGACCGGTTTGGGTCAATGGATAGGGCGTCGGCTTGGGGACTGAAGGGTCCCGGGTTTGATTCCGGTCAAGGGCATGTACCTTGGTTGCGGGCATATCCCCAGTAGGGGGTGTGCAAGAGGCAACTGATCGATGACTCTCTCTCATCGATGTTTCTAACTCTCTATCTCTCTCCCTTCCTCTCTGTACAAAACCAATAAAATATATTAAAAAAAAACAAACAGGTAGTTACCTGTCTTCCTTCAGGTATTAGATGGCAAGTGTGGCATCAGAGAAGCCATTTAAAAGTCAAAGATGCTCAGGCCCCAAATGTCAGAAGTTCTGATTCGGGAAGTCTAGACTGGAAACACACTTTTATTTGTTCATTAGAGAATTCCAGTTATCAGAGGCGAGGGTTTGATGAAAGAAGGTGAAGTGATTAGCCAAGGAACATAAATGCATAATCCATGGACATACCCAGCAGTGAGGTGATGGTCAGAGGAAAGAGTGGGGGCGGGGCTGGGTAGAGGTGAGCAAAGGGAGGTAAATGGAGAACATCTATAATAGTGTCAACAATAAAAAAATTCATAGTTGCATTTCATCTTGCCTCCTTCTGAGACCAGCCTTGCAGCCAATAATTCACCATCCTTTAAAGATTGTTCTCATAACTGCACAAAAATGATATAACTTAAGCAGAGCAAAATTAAAAGAAATAAATTTATTTAAACAGAAAATAATCCATAGTTATAAAGAGAAATTATTCAAATCAAATTAATGAGTTGAGAACCAATCAACTGTTTTTTATGATATGATAATAATAATAATCAAAGTTTAAGATGTTTTCTTCAATAACAGCTAAGAAATAATTATTAGAAAAAGTTTATAATTGTATTAAATGCTTTCGTTGAATTTATCAAAATAACCATAAGGTTCTTATTTATCAATCTATTGCTGAGTAAAACATAAAACTTAAAAAATTGGCTTCTTTGAGTTCTGCTCAGCCATTAAGAACAATTTTGAAGTTTCCATCTTCCCTTGTCATCCTCCTCTCCTTCCTTCTTGTGTTGTTAGCCCTTAGCCTTTTGTAAAGATTGTGATAAGAAAAAGGAGAGGATCAGGAGAATCTTAAGAATCTAAAGGAGTCTTTCATGTTTGAATGAAGAAAAAAGAGAGAGCAATTGGAAGATGTGGAGTAAGAAATAAAAGTATAGCCTAAGAGTCTTGTTTGGCAGAAGATGGTGTGGAGGTAAAAACATTTTTAAGACAATAAAAGGAGGGGTGGTGTTATAAATATGTCATAGAAAAGTTTAAAAAGAAGTTCCTAGAAGTTACATTGTGCATTTAGAATGTGGTTCTACATTAGATATATGTTTTGTGCGTTCAAGGAGCTTTTAATTACTGTACTTTTGAGTGTGTTGATGTAAGATTGCATACACAGCTGGCACATTTATCTCCCTGTATTTATGTGGATGAAACTGTTAGTAAAGTTGATTAAATTGTCCTTGTGCCAATGAGATCATTTTGGGGATAAAAACTACTTTGTCCTGTTGCAGTATTTCTTCAGCACATTGTAGCATCTCTACCCACAAGTGCGGTTGTTCTGTAATTCTGTGGTTATGTTGTTCACTTTGTGTCATGATGACTTTGGGTATCTTAGGTTTTCCTCATTTCTAAAAAGAGTAAGAAAACTTTTCTAAACAATATATTCTCTATTTCAATTTTAAGCAATCTCTCTTTACACACACAATTGATATTTATTTGAGTTAAACACCCAAGAAGATAATGAAAAGCAGTTAGAATCTAAGAATAATAAATTCTACTTAGCATGTTAAGGTTTAGAATTCATAACTCTTTCAGAATCTAATGTGGGATTTTGAAATTAACAGAGCAGACCTTTGTATTGCACTCATTTTATATTCTTGTAAACAGAGCTTGGCCAGTTCACAGGGCAGGTCAGCAGAAAAGCCAGGGATCAGCTGAGCAATGCTCTCCCCACTTGGCTAAGATGTCCGGATTAAATAAACATAATTAGTACACAAGACACACTGTCCCAAGTGATAAGAGGACTTATTCAAAGAAAGGTCAAATTTGGAGTTTTGTATTTTTGGCCTAACCTGACTTCTTTCTGCAATAATACAGAACAGTAATTCTAGATTAGTGCTTTTTTTTTTTTTTTTTTTTAATAACTCAGACAGGTTTTTGTGGTTGTTTTCTGTCTCTCCATTCTGAGGTAGGAGAGGAAGCGTGGTAGATCAGCACATGCACGGTGGCACTCAGCGTTCCCCAGTTCAGTTCTAGGGGAGGGAGCGCAGGAAAGGGGGCAGGCAATGTGTCCACTGTATGTTAGGAACGTGCCTAAGGTCCTGGGAAGACAGCATTAAGCTAAATTGACAGGATGTCCCAGTGTGGAGCTTATGTTTTTAGTAGGTACTTAGGTTTTAGAAAGAAGAATTTAATAAGGCGATGTAGAAATGACTTAAGTATAAACCACATTATCAAATGGTGATATGTGCTTCAGGGGAAATTGTTGTGGGGGAGAAGGGTAAGGAATGCCCCCTCATCCACAGGGCGCTATGGAGAGCAGAGATCAGGCACATGAGAGCCACAGGCTCCCTACTAAGAGTGATGGTGACCGAGCACCCAGTGTCTGCTGAGACTGGTCCTCCTGGCTGGGGCCAGGTGATGGAGATGCAGTGAGTTTGGGAGCTAAGGGAGAATCTTGCTTGTAAGAAAGGGTTCCTGAACTCCTTCTTGATTTCTCCTGTGAAGAAAATTGTATTTTTTAATCCTCACCTGAAGGTATTTTTTCCTTTGATTTTTAGAAAGAGTGGAAATGGGGAATTGGGGAGGGGAAGGCATCAACATGAGAGAGACATCAATTAGTTGCCTCTTGCATATGCAACTCAGTTAGGTATGTCCATGACCTTGAGTGGGAATGGAATCTGTGGCCCTTTGGTCTAACTTCTGTCCAGACCAGCCAGGGCAAAGAAAATGTTATAGTTCTCCTTTTACGTATGAGGAAAATAAGCCTCAGAGAAGTTAGACCACCTGTCCAGGGGCATGGAGCTGAAAAAGGACAAAGTTTCAAACTCAGCTGTGAATCTAAACCCACAGCCTGTGTTTTGTCCACTGTTCTCACTGCTTTCCAAGAGAGACATGGTGATCCTCAGGGTGTAAACGTTGAACTGTTTTATAGTCTGCTAGTGGCCCGATACATGAAGATTCATGGAAGAATGAGCCTTTTTTTCCCTGGCTGCCGCTCCTGCCTTTGCTCTGACACAGGGCTACCTTTCCACCTTCCCATGCTGCCCAGGGGCCCAGAGTGGCTGAAATGGTGCCTTTGTATGCAAATTAACCCGCCATCTTTGCTGGGTTAATTTGCATACTCACTCCTGATTGGCTGGTGGGCACCACAAAGGCACAGACAATTTGCAGCCTACTCTTTTATTAGTGTAGATTTGTCTGCTCACCTGACCCTCCTATTATACATATGATCAATATATTATCCACTAAGAGAAAATTCTGTTGCATTGGTATACCTCATTAAAATTGCAAATGATGCTTTTTTTTCACTCAATAGTTCATAATTTTAAAGAAAATTTTCTGTTTTCCTAATGGAAGGTGTTTCATTGTTAATATCTCTACCCACTCACCTCTTATGGGGCATTTTCTTTTCACACAAAAGTGTTCTAATTAATTCTGTCTCTTAATTGTCCTGCTGTCAAAATACGTTTTTTCTGAAGGTGCGGCCATGTAAATAAGTTCACCAGCAGGAGCCCACTTCCGGTGTGGGTTGCTGTGATAAATCATTTGGCATTAAACGCTGTTTAACTGTGGCTAATGTTTTGCCAGCCTCCAGGAGACCACCAAGTACTTTATACACCTAATGTGCATGTTTAGGATTTTTATGTCCCAAATGCATGTGACCAAATAAGGATCATGTGGCATTTAAAGTTGAGGGTCTCAGATTGAACAACCAGACAGGCAATCCCTCCCCGGGGGGTGTGCATGGCTTGTAGGAGACCAGGGATCTGCTGATTTCTAGCTTACAGTTCACTTTGCCTCGCATGCATTTCTAAAAGCTGAGGCTGATTTTATAGAAGGTGTGAGGAATCCGTGGATGGTAAATTCACAACTTAATTAGCCCAACGCTCCTATTATATTTAGGAGAAAAAGGAGGCAGCAGCAGAGAATAACAATGAGTCTTGGAGATTTTCCTTTCTCTTCTTCATTTGTTCTGCCCTTAGGCCAGGCTCATCAAATATTTGCTTCAATACTGTCAAGTCAGCTCTGACAGATCTTTTTGCGGTGTTAGCCCACCTAGAAATACCAGATAATGTACAATTATTAGGCTAGCTAGGTTATTGGGTGGGAGAGATGTTAGCAGCTGTATCCTCACCTCACAGTCCTAGGATTCTATAAAGTCATGTATAAATGCATCCGTGTAGAACAGAAGAGTAAATCCAATGTCTGCAAGACTTATGAAGATCAGGGAGAGCCATAAGAAGACAATTGATCAGGCTGGC